GCAAACCAACACACATGTAGACCCCCCAAATGAACTACCCAGGAAGCACAACTTTACTGGTCGAGACTTAGAACACACCCTTCCTTTTCCCAGCAAACAAAATGAAACCAAAAGAGCCTTTTCTTTACCAGAGCCATAGCTGAGAAGAAAAAAGTCTAATTCCTCTAGCCTTCGTGAGAGCTAAGCCCCATTTCACCTTAGCTGCAGCTTGCTGTAGCTAAATTAACAAAATGTTCCCATGACATTTAAATTCTCTCTTTCTCATGCCTTTTTCCCCCTTGTGAGCAGAGGGTGGGGGCAGGGGTGGGATGAAGCATCATAAATCAAAAGACAAAGCAACTTCAAAACAGAATCAGTTATTTGTAAACAATCCTTGTGGGGCTTTTTCCTCCTCCCTCCCACCTACCCCCACCCCAAGGAGAGCATCCCTGCCAGCTGTAATAGAAAGCCAAGTACAGATAAATCAATTAGCCTGCTAATTTCTCCCCTCTCATTTATTTAGCTCTGCACTGTATTTGTCGTAATTGACTACAATTATGTTAATTACTAACTCCGGTATAATTACTATATTTATTGTCATTGAGCACCGATGTAACCACAGCAAAGCTGGCATTTGTCGGGCATCAAGAAAGCAAACTGTCGAGAGGTGAATTCGGCAAACTGGCGGATGTAGCTTCAGCAAATGAAAGGGCAAAAGAGATTTCATGCAATGTTAGTTTGAAAGCACCGGTTCATTAAGGATATTAATTTTCTGATAACTACACATTTAAGCATGACACACTAGTGCGGTATCTACAGGATTTCGCAATTATTAATGCGTGACAGTTTCAAATGCTAAGTGAATCAATTAAACAGCAGCATTCACAATTTGAGAAGAGATAACTGCTTCATAACTACCTAAGACTACAATTTTCACATGACAAAAAAGAGCCATTGAGGCGCCTTCAAAACCTGACAGGTCAAGAAAGAAGTTTGAAACAAAAGCACCTTACAACCATCATCTCTCCTCTTTACTTGTCAGATCAACTTTGCGAGTGTCTCCCCAGAAACGGCATCACATGCCAGCTGTCACAAGGTGATTTTTCATGTCTTGTCAAAGAAATCTTTTATTCTATTTGCTCTGCATTAACATGTTACATTTATTGATCAAGGGCCTGTTCGGCAGCCGCAGCAGGGCACTGAGCTCTCCATGCCTACGGGGCTTTGATGTCCCGTGACATTCCCGTCAGAATAATGCACATACTAAATGGATTTAATGCAGAAATGTGTTTGGGCCTGACAGTTACATTAATAACAGCCCCTCACACTGATAAATATGCAATTGCTACTATTAAGAGTTACCCAATTACGGGGAAAATATTTCTCTACCTTATAAATAAATCCATCAAGGAAAAAGTTTTAACAATAGCACATTTTCTTAAAACAGGTCTCCAGCTGCAGGAAAATGGGCTGTGGGGGGGTTCACACCCCTCTTCTGCCCTCCCAGCCAATTGTTTTTAATAAGACTTATCTTAAGAATGGTTGGGGATTTTTTTTTTAAGAACCTCTTTGGTTGATTTTCCCTGTTTTACTCATTTCTTATTGCTTCAGGATAAGAGAAGAAGCAGACGCCCAGGAGACTGAAAATGTGGGTTCTGTATAAACTCAGAGAGGGGCTTGGGGGAGTTGGTGCAGAGGTGGGGGCACATAACTGATCCCCATAATGATGGACCTGGAGGAACTATGTGTTTGGGTTTGGTGTTTCTTTTTAACTCTAAATGAAACCTGAACATGTGTGTGTGTGTCTCATTTAAAACCCTAAGTGACCTTGTGCTGTGGCAGTGATTGGGGCAGGGAGGGAGACGAAGGGCAAGAGAAGGCAGCTGGGATGGAAGAGATCTTTTATTAGGAAAGTCTCTGGAGCAGGGGGAATTTGTAGTGATTATATCCCTGCAATTAAACACAGATACCCAGCAAAAAGCATGATCACGCCCCTTCCATCTTAAAGGAGCGGCAGCAGCTGAAATCAACACTGCAGCTCCTGGGGAGACGAGGAAAGAGGCTCTCCCGACGGCGGGTGCGTTCCCGTGAGTGGGTTCGTGCACAAGTGCCCATGTGTACATATCTCCACCCTTTGCTCTCCCTTCAGACTCAAAATCCGCACATGCCGTCATCGGTCTCCAGACCCCAGGCCACAGCTGGGGCCGTCAACAGTTTGGCCACAGCAATTGCGGAGCCATTTCTCCGGACAGAGGCCCCCTAATCTGCATCCTGACTTACAGCCCAAGAGCAGAGGCAAGAGGGTGGAAACCCCACCTCCAGGCCAGTTCAGACTTCGCCAAACTTTCCAAACCAAGACTGGCTTGCAGGGGACACACCGTAATTGCGAACCCCAGGCTACGGGATCCCCTGTGGCTCCTCTTCGGTGACTTCCGGAGGCATTTACTGACTTTTGAAAACGAAAGCGTTCGTTCCCCACAAGGAAAGTCAGGCGAGGACGTGGCCGTTCATTTGCCTGCCCAAAGAAAGCAACCGTGCACACCCTAAAGAGTCACAGACCGCCTGCGTCGCCCAAACCCAGCACTCCCATGTAACCATCGTGTGGTCCTGGGCACATTACTCTGCCTCGCTGGACATTCCGTTTGGTGGGCTACGAGGACTGTTCTCAACATGCTCTTGGGAGAACAAAAGCATGTATTTACAACGCTCGGCACAGCCTTGGCATATAGAAAGAAAGAGGGGGGAAAAGCAGTTACCATCAAGTTGATCCTGACTCTGACTCTTGGTGACCCCAATTGTGACTTTCAGTGGGTGATTTTTCAGAAGTAGACTGCTAGCTTTTCTTCCAAGGCACCTCTAGGTGGACTTCAACTTGCAACCACTTAATTACTTCCAAGCACATTACTGTTTGCGCCACCTAGAGACTCCCTGGCAAAGAGTCTGGGCTCGGTAATATTAGTTGACTTTTATTAATAATTTTAATTAATAATATATTATTAATTAAAATATTATCGATAAATATTGGTAAAATATTATCGGTTAAATTTAATTAAAATATTAAAGTGTTTAAAATATTATTAATAAAATGTTGATACTATTTTTTGGATAATAAAGGACTGATGTCATTTGTTTAACTTCCTGTCCCTGTGCCCCTTGGCCAATGGAGCCAATCCACGCTGTACACCTTTGCCAGGCTGCTTTGTCGTGAAACTTGTCAAGAGAAACACTCTGTAATGGGACTCCTGAGTCTTTCTCAACAGGGTCCGGACAGTTTAAGGAAAAAGTCACTTTTCTCGGAAGCTCTTCCATGCCCTGCAAGAGATTTGGCAGCCCTGGCCTCATCCAACAAAGGCCAGTGGAGGGCTCCCCACCTCACTGTGACAGCAAGGTTCTCCCAGAAGTACAGTGAGCAGAAAAGCTGAAAGAATGAAACTCTTCAGGGCTCTCCCCTCCCCTAGATTGCAGCTGCTTCCAACCGACTGTCTTCCAATAGGCGGGGGCGGGGTGGTGGGGTGGTGGTGGTGGTGTCTTCAGAACAGAGAGCAGGGCAGAGCAAGAGGATGGAACCGAAGAGCACCGAGTCCAAACAGCTCAGGGGAAATCTTTACAAAGAAAAGAAAAGAAACTCCAAGATTCTAGAGGAGGAAAGGGGAGACTTGGTTGCATGATGGTTATGTGTTGAGCTACCATATGCAAGATCAGCAATTCAAAACCACGAGCCGCTTCTTGGGAGAAACCCACAGGCGCAGTTCTAGCCTGTCCTATAGGGTCACTTATGAGTCGGCATCCACTCAATGGCCATGAGTTTTCAGTGAGTGAGAGGAGGAAAACTGGGGGGGGGGGGGGGGGGGGGGGGGGGGGGGGGGGGGGGGTAGGATAAACGGTGTTACTAAAAAACCTGAGCACGTCCTACCCTAGAGGCAATGCTTTCATAGAGAAAATTTTATGGAAGCACTTTCTTGTTTATAATGCAAGTTATGGTGACCATTCACGTGTATGAAAAAAACTGAGCCCCAGAAAGCTTCTTCAGCCATTTAGACAACTTTCTCAACACGCCACCCCCACCCCCACAACTACTCCCCCTGCCCAGTTATTACCAATGTCGCTCAACTTCTCATTCTCTCTGGTGAAAGGGTAGAACTCCAGGAAGCAAGTCAAGACATCCTTTATCGTCTTCCCTGCCTTATTTAGTCAAACTATCCTTGATTCCACAGCCATGGAGGTCACACCAGAAAAAGCTGTACAGAGGGAAATCTACTGAGACATTAAATCGAACCTGCCAGGTCATTTTCCATTTGACCTGTTGACTGCATGGCCTATTGGAAGCTGGAGACCCTAAAAGGGACGATGATATTCTTGGAACAAAAGATGTTTTTATAGCATTGCCTGGCTTAAAGCAAAAATTATTTCCAAATGGACATGGGACCCTGTCTTCTTGGAATCATTCCGGATTTATAAATGCTCTGGAAGTAGATTGAAAATTCATTAATAGTTGACCTTTCTAAGGCCGATCTTCCCTGCCATCACTTTTCTCTCAGTGCTTATTGACATGAGCTCTGTAGCCTCCTCTTCACAGCATCGGGGTGTTCTCCGAGTCAGGCTACTACAGGTGAGAGCTACAAACAAGGTCAAACAAGGCTCCTGACTGCAAGCGTTCTGTTCCACGATGACCTACTCCAACAGAGCGTTCTCTTTAAGGTGTTCTCCTACGAGTCTGGGTAGGGCATTTTCTTTCTTTCTCAGTCCCACTGGGATATGAACCAGAAGGAGCTCTGATGGCATTGTTGGTCACCAATCATAAAGGCAGCCACTCACACCCACAGGAGAAAGATGAAGGTATGTGCTCCCGTAGAGGTGTCCAGTCTGTAGGGTCACTGACTGTATCCGAATCAACTTGATGCAGCGGCTTCTGTTCTTTGATTGGATGCATCCAGCAGACAGCAATGAAAAGCATAGGGAGGATGAGTGGCTTGGCTTATGGAATATAGGGGGTCGTTTGAAAAGTAAGGTATTTCTGTCAGCTATGCTAGGTTACAGTGTATTAATAAACAACTCCCAATCTGAACGGTGTCATTCACCTTGATGAGAGGATCAGGATAGCGGATGGTGCGAGCATCGTGTGTCACCAGGTGAGGGATTCCTTTTGTGCCCACAAAGATCTTTCTTACTTTGCACAACTTGTACTTCGCCTCCTCAGGTGTAATACGATGAACAGCAAAGCGACCCTTGGTGTCATAGATCAGACGGAAATTCTCTCCGGTCTTGTCAACGGCGATGACATCCATAAAGCCAGCAGGGTAGGTTATATCAGTTTGGACCTTGCCATCAATCTTAATGAACCGCTGCATGCAAATTTTTTTAACTTCATCTCCAGTCAGAGCATACTTAAGTCTATTTCTTAAGAAAATGATCAGCGGGAGACATTCTCTCAGCTTGTGGGGACCAGTGGATGGTCGAGGAGCAAACACACCAGTGAGTTTGTCACACCATCCGCTATCCTGATCCTCTCATCAAGGTGAATGACACCGTTCAGATTGATTTGGAGACCGGAAAGATTACTGATTTCATCAAGTTCGACACAGGCAACATGTGCATGGTGACCGGAGGTGCTAACCTGGGAAGAATTGGTGTGATCACTAATAGAGAGAAACACCCTGGCTCTTTTGATGTGGTTCATGTGAAAGATGCCCATGGCAATAGCTTTGCCACCCGGCTTTCCAACATTTTCGTTATTGGAAAAGGCAACAAACCCTGGATTTCTCTTCCCCGAGGGAAAGGTATCCGCCTCACCATTGCTGAAGAGAGAGACAAGAGACTGGCTGCCAAACAGAGCAGTGGGTGAAATGATCTCGAGGTGGAGTGAATGAAGAGATCTCTACAATAACAAATAAAGCTTTTTTTCCCCCCTTTTAAAAAAAATTTTTAGCATACTTTTTTTAAGTAGTTACTTCTGATTGAACTATTGGATTGTATGGTATGTGAATTACATGCCAATAAAACTTAGAAAATTTAAAAAACAATAAAATACTGCTCGGAAAAAATTAAAAAAAATAAAATAAAATAAAAATAAACAACTCCCAAATCTTATAACAAAGAGTTTTTCATTCACAATTTATGTCCATTATAGATCAATAGAGGGTTCTCCTCTCTAGTTATAGTCAGAAAGAGAATAATAATTACATAGCAGGTAAGCAAGAAAACGGCAAATCACACACTGGCTTCTAAAGTTTGTCCAAAAGTTATACCAGAGAATGGAGACTTGTGCAAACACCGTGATGTGTTAGCAAGAGAGTAAGTCTTGAGTATTTATGGGGAGTCCCAATAACTACCAGACATAGAAATGGCCCTATGGAGCATCAAACTTGAGCTCTTAGCTTGGGTAGAACTTAACTCATTCTAAGCAATAACAATAGCTGTGCTCAGTGAAGACCTACTATGTGCCAGATAATCTGTGAGACAACTATGCACACGGTTTCTAAACTTTTTTTCGACAATGGGCCTAAAGTCAAACAATTGGTGGATTTGAAAAGAAGTGGGATTATACTCTAGTCTAGTCAATATAGTCTAGTCTCAAATCCTTATTTTTATTAAATTGCTCATCTTTCCAACTGAGCAGCAAGTAAAAGGTCACTTTGTCTGGAGGTCATCAAAGAGAAACAGGAAGTGTAGTGTGTCTATATTTCAAGAAATGTTGACAGTGCACCAGGCTGTCTGCCTCACTGCCTGCTGCCAGGGGGAGAGGGTAGAACCACTTTACTGGACTCTCCAATTCTTCATTTCCATACTTATTAAAACTATGCAGGCAACACGCATTTTCTACCTAAGAAATTTTCTCCCAAGCAAGCAAACAGATACCCCACCCTCCTCCACCCACCAACCCAGGGCATTTATCAGAGAGATGCTAAAGAAGATGCAACTGCAAATAATTTAATTTTTAAAATGTAAGTGTTCTGTTGCCATAGATCAATTAAACCTTTTTGCTTTTATTGTCAGACTGACATGAGCATATTTATCACCGTGTGCCAAGGGAGCTCTGCTCTGCCTGCTGTGTTCAACAAGCTAAAGTAGCAACCGACTCAAACCCTCAGGGCTCTGAAAGGAGTGGGGCCACCGGAGAGAACTCTGCCCTCCCCCAGCAAAAGGAGAAGGCAAGCAAAATAAAGCAGCTCATTAAAAAGCCTTCTTTGCTTTGAGATGCAGGAACCCCTATTGGCTAAAAGATGTGATTATCTTTAAGAGTCAGCAAAGTAAAGGTACCATAATAAAAACCTCAAAAACAACCTAAGCAAGAGTTTGGAAACAATGGATATTCAAATACTCTTTTTGGTAGTATAAGGAAAAAAAAGAAACCAAATGCCATAACATTGATTCACGGCAACTCCGTGTATCCCATGTAGAGCTGGGCTGTACAGTTTTCAGTCACCAAATTTTCTTTTCAGAAATACATCTCCAGGCTCTCTTCTAAGACACATCTGGGCGGACACAAACCCCCAACCTCTCTTGTAGCTACAGAACACATGAGCTGCTTGCCCTACCAGGGACTCCATTCCTGGTTTCAAAGGCACACCCTTAGAAAGCAACCTGATATCTGTATCGTAGCCCATTGACGATTTCATCGCTATGTTTTTGTCTTAAACGATAACTTCTCAACCTTTAGGCTAAGATCAAATGTACCTGTTCTTATCAGTTTAATATTTATGTCAAACAACTACCAGTAATCAGAGACATACCACAGAATATTACAAAGGTACCAATGGTGGTGGTGGTAGTGGTGGTGGTGGTGGTGGTGGTGATGGTGGTGGAGGTGGTGGTGGTACATGCCATCAAGTTAGTGTCGACACTAATTAAAATAGAACAAAACACTCCCTGGTCCTACAGCAGTCTTACAATGGTTGCTATATTTGAGCCCAATGTTGGAGCCATGTGTTAATCCTTTAAGGTTTTATAATAGTTATTTATAGCAGTGAAACCCTGGAAACTACATAAATATCCAACACCATGAAGTCAGTTAAGATGCAGTTGTAGGAACTACATAGGAAATAAGTCTCCAGTGAGCTCCCTCCATCCATAATTGAGGAATGGGCGGAAAGGGGTTACTAACAATGCATTGGAGAGATGATACAGAAGATCACAGGCATAAGCCCAACCTGAACAGTTAAATCTTTGTCAGTTGATCCCCCTCTGATGCACGCTGGACCTGATCTAGTTTTCAGCATTTTCTGTATTTTTGTTTGTTCGTATTGGGGTGTATCTCAGAGGTGTTATACCATTGGGGTCACCCTCTTGAAGTGTTATATGTCTTTTGGTCTTTCAGTATGTAATAATAAATTGAAATTTAAAAAAAGAAAGCATTAAAAGTTGTAGTACAGTAAAATGTTTATCATGATGGGAAAATAATTCTAGTTTGATGTGAGAAACACACAATAAAACATGTGTGGTAAATGTGATAATTAAGTTTTGTGTCAACTTGTCTGGGCCAGGATTTTCAGTGGTTTGTCAGTTAAGTCCTCCCCCTAATATGATCTAACATAATATAATCAACTCCATGACAGTATTGCTGTGAGCCAGGCAGTCAGCGTGGTAGTGATCATGACACTGTGTCCTCAGTGGTATGGCCTGCTTGATATTTAAGTCGAAAGATGTGGAGAACTTCACTTTTCTTGCTCATCTGGATCCCACACTCTCTACATCGACCTCAAGTTCTTGAGTTAACAGCCCATCAGATTGCCTGCCGACCTTGGGAGCCATTGCCAACCTGGGAACCATAAGAGCCCGGTAACCTTGGATTCATTCAACTTTACCAGCCACAGGCCTGATTTACTGACATCCACCAGCCTGTGATGTTTCTGCTTCATTTTCCTGTTTACTGCATCTTCTGCCTTGGCAGCTGCATGTGTCATGGAAAGCCTCCCCCTTACCACCTACAACTGTATGTATGAAGCCATTTTCTTGATATAAATGTCTCTCTTTTTATACCTATATAAGCATCACTGGTTTTGCTTCTCTGGGAACGCAGACTAACACAGTAAACATCATATAT